AGGAACCGACTGCATACTGAGGAGGGAACTCAGCCATTTGATTCAGGTGTGTTGGACCAAGGATGGATCTAAAAGTTGCAGGATACCGGCCCCCAGGAACTGGAATTGCCCACCCCTCATCTAACCAGATCATTATGATCAGACCTTTGCTCAGTTTTTCTGTCATCTCTGCTTTGGGGGAATCTTTATTCTACTGAACAAATCATGCTTTGAGTAACTCCGGCTCATTTCCACCGTCTCTGATGATTCACAGTTAAATCAGCAGCTGTCTGATTGTGACATCGACCCCAACCACCACACCGTCTCCACCATGCTGAAGAGCAGCTGTTCCCACGCTTTCTCGCCTCTCTGGGTGTTTTCCAGGAAGGAGGAGGTTCTGGTCACAGGAACCAGGTCTGGATCCGATTCTGTTCACATATCTGTCTTTGTTTCTTTTGTTTCTTCAGGAATGGAGCAGATTTTCCATCTGGATCAGAGGAGATGGTCCAGATGAGGAGAGTAACGGTCTGACACACCGATCCTCACAATCAGAACCAGTTTGTTTGGGTTTTGTAGGTCAGAGGTCAGACCTGCAGTCCTGCCCATCTCTTCCTGTGTAAGACACAAACACGCGCGCGGCGAATCGCACGGAGGCGCGCGCATCCTCCCCTCCCCCCCCTGCTTCCTCCTGCAGGACAAAGCGGCCACGCTGCCTCCTTCAAAAAAGTCCAAACACACCGAACACAACGGTACCGGCCCACGCTTCCTCGCGGACACGCACACACTGACCCACGCAAACACGCACGCGTACTCGCGCGTGGCAGAAAAAAAGCGCGTGCTCGTTTGAGTTAGCGGAAAGGAAGGGAAAAAAAATCTGTTTCCCGTTTCTGAGCTCAGAACTTTCCTTCTTCGTTTTCTGTTAAACTGGCCCCAAAACCGAACCCTGAACCGAACCGGAACCGAGCCCAGAACCAGTCCAGGTTTGGCTGAAGTAACGGAACCAGCGGTTTGATCTGTAGTTTCCAGATGTGGTCAGAAACACCGGATCTAAACCAGTAAGACTCCAGACTGGGACCAGTAACCGAACTGATGTGTTCGGGGTTGTCGGTTCCGTCTGACCCAAAATAAACTAAGGATGATGAAAGTGGTCGTGCACGCGCGCGGCAGGGTTCCGGGCTCACCTTCAGGCTGGTCTCCTTCATCCTGTCCTTCTCCCTCCTGCTCTCCAGCAGCCGGGACATCGATCAGCTGATCGGTTCCGTTTATCCTGATCAATCACACCCTCCAAGCAACAAAGTCCAGAATCCTTGGGTCCTGGTCCCGGAGCGCTCCGCAGTCTGAGCTAGGGGAGGGGCTTGTGTTTGACCGACAGCTCCTCTCTGTACTTCTGACCAATCAGAGCGCAGCCCGCTGCCGCTGCGATCGGCCAATCCCGTCTTCGCTCGTATTTTAGGCCCCGCCCATCAACACATCTCAGAAAGCATTTGTTTCTTGAAGCCGGGGAAGCGACGCTTAACGTGGTGGGAGGGGCTAGTCTCTATGACAACGTGTCAGAGCGGCACGTGTTCAACATCCGCCAATCAGGGCTTTATTGGATGCCACGTGACCGATGATCCAGGTCCCGATCGGATCGATTAACTCCACCCCCCGGCAGAGGAGTGTACAACAGGCAACCGAGTGACGTGGAACTGAAGCAGTCCGACCCCGCCCGCCCTGCACAACGGAGGCGTGCGCCGGCTGGGGTTTCGAGCACACCCCGGCTTCCGCACAGAGAGATGAGCGATCATCAACTGGTCCAGAAGATAAACTGTAACTATAAACAGTAAAGCATAACCTGACATGTTTAATCAGATCACCATGGCAACACTTTAACAACACAAATCAACGGAAACACCGCTAAAAGCGCCGCTTCCCGGCAGAAGAGGAGGCCACTGTGCTGAATTAACATTAATTACATTTTAAATGTGCAGAATATGCATTTTTTTAAAATCCATCTGTTAATAAAACTAACAAAAGTTTAGAGAATGAAGAGAAAAGTACGACTATGTGATAAGCAAGATGAAAGAAGGATACAGAAAACCAAATAAAGACAATGCAACTAAAGAATAATCTCAGGCTTAACATCAGAATTGGATTAGAAGATAAGCTCAGGATCTGACAGCTGAGCTCTGAAAAGATGAGCTGCTCCATCCAGAGCTTCTCTGACAGGATCCAACATGCTGGGACAAAACTGAACCATTTGGATGAAAGTAGGACCGTAAATTACAACAAGTCCAATGTTTAAAGTGTCAGTTTATTGAGGCATATACAGGTGGTTGTTCCCCAGTCTGAGAGGTCCCCTGTTTGAAGTCTCTAATCTCTGAGGTGTCCACAGTCTGAGGTGTTCACTGTCTAAAGTGTCCACTTTATGAAGTGTCCACAGTGAGTCACCTTGGTTTTCTTGACTCTTCTGTCCAGTCATGCATCAGAAATCCTAGTGTTTGGTTCCACTAGTCATTGGCCCTCGTGGTAGAAGTGTTCTGAATAGAAGTGCTATTTTATTCTTAAATTGTTTGCACGGGTGATTTAGGTGAAAATGTCCAATTTACTGTTTTTCTCCTGTTTCTAATCTTCTCTGAGGTACGAATACATTTAACAATAGATGTCAAGTCTAGAGCACTTTCATCTAAAATCAGTTTTTCACAAAATAAGTAGATTTGTTTTTACTTCGAAGCAATTGTCCATTTAATGAGGCTCAACCTCTGCATTGAAAGTTCAATCTTTATTAGCTGATAACAGAACTATTGGTCACTACGCCTGCAGCTGGCATGTTGGTATCCACACTGGTTAAATTAGTTTTTATTTTAAACAGATGGTATCGGTTTGGGCCGATACTGCACAGCCAGGTATCGGTTAACAGTTTCTGGGCCAAAAAATGGCATTGGTGCAACACTAGTTTTTTTCCCCCAGATGGCAGCAGAGAGCAGCTGGCTGAGTCTGCAGGTCCAGGTATCTTCATTTCAATTTTCCCTTTTCATCCAATAGTTAAACCCCAGTCTGTGATCCTGGAAACCTGTTAACTTTGTAGTTTTGCTTTTAACTTGTTTTTACCCATTTGTTCTCCTCTTGATTCAGTTCTCTACCTCTGGTTCCTATTATCATCTCCAGCTTTGTTAAACTGTTTCTGAGTTCACCCTGTTTCTGCGTCCAGGCTGGCAGAAGTCCTCCTCTCACTCTGGAACCCTTTGAGATCAGAACCTGCTCACTCTCCAATCACCTTTAAGAGTCGAGGTTCAGACTGCCAAGCTGCTCTCTGAAAATCCTGACTCAGCTCAAGATCCCTCTTTTTCATCCTTCACCGTTCTCATCATCAAATCTGTACGTTCCAAGAACTCTGATCATTCAAAGTCAAACAATCTGGAGCAAACTGACTGTGGACTCGTATCCCTGAGGGCCATTAGTACTCAAATAAACCTTTTTTCTAAATGTTCAACCAGCTTCTTTGAATGTTTCTGCATGTAGATCAGATCTCTGAACAAAAACA